TTATAATATATAATAATAAATATAGTTTATCAAAAATTAGATTAATTTTATAAATTTTTTATTATTAGATTCAAAAATAAAGTTATACTATCTGGAAATAAGTTTGCACAGTCAGTTTTTTGAATTTTATTCAAAATTGTATATAATAAAATCAATTGATTTTGATACCAATTGAAAGCTCTGATTCTTGTTTATATAACTATTTGTTATTGTAACATATACAAATAAAAATAATTATAAACATAAATAAATATAATGTAATGATAATCAATCTAACAACTTATTTTTAACAAAATAGGTAAAAATCCTGAACTTACCGTTATTGAACAAGCACAAATAATCAGACTATATAAAAGTGACTACAGAAAGTCTGATATTATTAGAATTATAAATCAACCAGAATCCACAGTTAGAACAATAATTCAACGATATGGAGATTCAGATGACATGTTAAGTAAAAAAGAAGTGATTAGCTTCCGTTACTTGATGATAAAAATCGCAAAATTTTAAAAAAAATTGTTAAAAAAAATAATAAAGCTTCAGCTGATATAATACAAAAGAAATTTTCAGTAACAATTGGTCAAGATATTTGTATCAAACAATTCAGAAGAATTTGCATTATATTGGATACAATTCTTATTAAGCTGCAAAAAAACCATTTTTAAATGAAAATCAACATCAAAAACAGCTAGAATGATAAAATTAGACAGTACAACAATGGAGAAATGTTATATGAAGCGATGAATCAAAGTTTACTTTTTTTCATAATGATGGTCCTTCTCAAGTTTGGCGTGAACTAGACACTCATTTTAATATTGAAAACCTGAATTCATTCATTAAACATGGTGGTGGTGGAGTCATGGTTTGGGGATGTTTTTCAGGCAAAAGATTGGGTCCTTTAGTGAAAATAGAAGGAATAATCAATCAGCATAATTATATAAAAATCTTAGATGATAATCTGTTGCTATTTATTGATTTAAAGTTTTGTAACTGATCTTACAAATTTCAGCACAATAATACATCCATTTACATAGCTAATGATATTAAAGCATGGGTTGCTAAAAAAAATTAAAGTGTTAATTAACTAACCTGCTCAATCTTCAGATTTAAATTCCATTGAGCATTTTTGAGATCATCTTGAATGTTTGTTATGTAACTATTCAGATCTGTCTAAAAAACTTGCAGATTTAGAAGTGCAACTAAAAGAAGAATAGAAAAAAATTCTGCAAGAAACTTACCTAAAATTAATTGATAGTATGTCTCAAAGAATAGAAGCATGTATTGCTAATAATAGTTGGCCAACTAGATATTAATATTTTGTTAAAAAAAAAATGATAATAAACTATTTTTTCAAAACTACGCAAACTTATTTCCAGGTAGTGTATATATATTCAAAATTAAAAATAAAATTAATAAACAAAAAAATTAAGATTAAATAGATATTTATTTACTTTAATTATATTATACATATCAGATGATATTACAAGTATTAAAAAATTTTTATAGTAATTATTAATAATAATTTTACTTATTATAATATATATTTATATATTTAAGCTATAAATATAACTTTAGAGGAAATTTTAAATAAGTTATTTTATTATTAATAAAAGTAAAAAACATGTTTAAAAAGTTAATAATTCTTTATAATAATAATGAAATTAATATATATAATTTATATAAAAGAAATAATAATTAGTAAATAATTAAAAAAGAAAAAAAGCAAAATTTTTTTTTTAATATTACTAATTTTATTTAGTATTAAATTTATATAAAATAATGGATCTGATTGTCTTATAAATTAGTTGACTGAAAAGAAACAAATTTTAAATTAGATTAGACTGGTATTAAATAATAAAAAATTAGACTGATTCAGTTTAAAGAAAGATAAAAAACTGATCTTAAAAACTATCACGTATTAACTTTTTCTATATAATTATCAACAAAATATACATCATCAATATTAATTATTAATAATAATCCTTTAAATCACTATTAAATTAATAAGCTACAATTTTAATACTTATATAAATGTTCAGTAAAAACTCTTTAACTAAGTCTATAAATAATTAAGTTTTAATATAATATGACAATAAACAAATAAATTCATAATTTATTTACTAGTCTATAATCCTTTTTACGATTTTATTATGGATTTAATATAATATTTTTTGTCTTGATAAATTATTAATTACATATAATAATTCTCATCTATAAATGATATAATTATCAGTTAATTTAAAATTTATAAATTAAAATAAGATAATAAAATATAAATCTAAATTGATAAATTAGTAAAATACCATGTGTTAATCATTTTTATCAGTTTATTTTTTAAGATTTATTTGAAATTTAATTTTTTATTTAATTTAAAAATTTATGTATAACCATAACACATTTAATAAAATGATAAATTTCAGAATAGGTTTACTATATTGATTTTATGAATTTTTATATAAAAAGTAAAGAAATTGCAACTTTAATAAAATTTTTTTATATAAAAATGTAATTCTGTAAAACTTGGAATAAAATGTTATATTAATTTTAATTTAATAAAATTATAAATTTTAAGATATAATAAATTAAAAATGTCAAAATTAATAGACAAAAAATCCTTTTCAAATTTTCAAATTTACTTATTTTTCATATTTTTTTATATTTAAACTAATTAATAAATAATGTTTTGTAATCTTGATTAACCTTTAATAATGATTTATCTATTAAAAATAAAAAATTAAAGAGTAAAAATAAGATAATAATGAAAGATTTACAAAAGTTATAATTTAATAATTTAAAAATGAGGATGATAGTAGATGAGATGATGAAATAGATATATTAAATAAAAAAAAAGATAAATATAAATTAGTTTAGTCAGTTGATACAAAATTTGAACAAAAAACATGAATTTTTATTTTGCTGAAAAAACTAAAAAATTAACATATTTTAATAAAATGAACTTAATAATTATTTCACAAAAATTGCAAAAGAAATTACTAAAATTATAATATTTTTAAAAAAATATCAATCAATTTTTAAAAATCTTAAAGAAGCTTTAGATGATATAAAAGATGAGAAATAATATCAATTTAATCTAAATAAAAGAATCAAAAATTTAAAGATTAAGCTTAAGAAATAACAAAAGTTATTAACTATAATTAAATATAATAAGAAAAGAATAATTTTTGAATATTTGATAATAATAGAAATAGAAAGTTATAAGCCAATGTTAAGGTTGCAAAATAAACATACCTTATATAGAATAAAAATTATTTAATATTAAGCTAAAATATAATTATCTTTTAATAAACTATTAAGGAAAATATCAAAAAATAGATTAATTGATAATGAAAATATAGCAAAAAAAATGCTATATTTGAATTTGTTTACAAGGAGAAACAATAATTCCACTAAAATTTAAAGAGTTTATTAAGTAAAAATTGCTCATTAATTTGAAAATAATTAAAAAACTATTAGTGTACAACCGTAAAATATTGGTTAAATATACTTGATTATTTTTTTCAATTCTAAAATAGCTAATTAAATTTCATTTTTATTATATAATATACTTATTATTTATTATTAATTAATTTATATATATTGTAATAGGCATGATAATGAATATTTTATTATCATAAAATATTAATAATTGTTTTTAGATAAAATCTATAATTATAAAAAGTTTATGATAAAATATGAAGATGAAAATATAAAACAGATTTCACCAATACTAGGATTTAATGATAAGAAAATAATTCTTATTATACATGATGATGTGTATTTTATTTTAATGATAGAAATAAAGAATATAGGCAAAATCTAGAGAATTGTCATTATATAAAAAAGGTAATGACTGCTTCATTATGATTAGTGAATTTTGTTAGAGAAATGTAATCAGCTCAAATTAGATGTATAATAATTTCAAAAAAATTCTTCTATACTTAAAGAAGTATGTGTTTATCTTTAATCAGATAAAAATCAAGAAGGTTGGATAAGTGAACATTTAATAGAACAAGTTAAATTAAAAGTCATTTCTATTTTTGAAAAAACTTATTTCTAATTGTGTTGCATTGTTTGCATTTGATAGTCCAAATTATGCAATGATTTTAAAACCCGAAGGAAAGTAAATAAAAATGATGAACCAAAAGGAATAAAACAGGTTTTAATTGAGCGTAGCTTATGAAAAGATGGATTAAATTCTGATCGTCATTATTTAAAAATAAGGTAGATGATGAAAATCAGGTAGATTGTTATGTGTGTGAAATTATTTCATTGTAATCTGATTTTTTAGCATAAAAAAGTGCATTAGAAGAAATAATATTTTTATCCAAAGTTCCATTGTAAACTTAATTATATTAAATGATATTGAGGGATGGCAAAAAGGTTTACTTGAGAAAACTGTAATTATTCTTGGTCAAGTTTGAAGTATACTGTTAAAATAGCATTAAACTCTGTAAATACAATTACAATAAGAAAGTTTGCCCAGAAAAGCATGACGTTATATGGATTTTTATAGTAAAGGGATTACTAGTAAACTGGCAGAATATGCTTGCTAAAAAAATATAAATCCCATAATTGTATTCCCGATTATGTATTAGCAGAATTAAACAAATAAAAATAAACAATAAAGCGCTGTGTGATTTACGAAGTCATGTGATATAAATTTATAAATCACGTAATTATCGCCATTTGAAATTTCGGTTGTTTATAGATGATGCTCACTTAAAATTTTTTATTTAACGTTAAATTTGTTGATTTATTTAAACATTTATGAACTACATTTACATCATTCTTTCTAATCCATTTTGTATATTTATAAGAACAATATTTAATAAATCCTTCAAACAAGTTTGCATGATATATAATACTAAGTTAAACATTTAAGAACTACATTCATATCATTCTTTCTTATCCATTTTTTATATTGATAAGAATAATATTGAATAAATCCTTCAATATATAATACTAAATTATTAATAATGAATTTTCTCTTAATTGTTGTATTAAAACGAACAATATAGATTTTCCTTTGGAACCCAAAATGTATCATCTTTTTTATGCCATAGTCGACAAATTGGCTATATTTATTAAATAAAGGTTTATTTAATAAAGGGTTAAAACCACATTAAGAGTACCATGCTATTGCTATCGATGCCTATACTAACCATTGCAAATTCAGTCGACATGATCATCTTCCGACACATTTCGACAATTTCTTTTTTCGAAAACGTTTTGCTTATGCTTTCGTTCAAAAAAATATTTCATGATGTTATTAATTAATTTTTTCTACGAGTATTTCAACACATAATCATCATCTTACCTATTGCCCGCTCCTACTCGGTTTCCGCACATAGTCTCCGAAAAGTTACTTGATTTCGTAGAAAAAACGTTCATCTTTGCCGGATAAGCGTTTGTCGTTCTCAGCAGGTCTTCAACGTGGGAAAACGTGAACACCTCGACATGTTCCATGGGAGAATTATTGAGATACAGGCGGATGCAGCGAACTTGTAGGAGCTAATAGAATTTGTTGGGAACTTCTCAAAAATAACGGATAAAAGTTTGACCAGCAACCGCGCGAAAAACGTGCTGTGTTATGTGTGCGAGATTTCGGGGAGAGAATATATTGTTAATGTTAAACCTTGGGTTTTTGAAGAAAGAATTTCTGTATCAGGCGAAATTTTCTGTGGCGACTCGGTTTTATTGAGAACTTACAATTGTCACGTGATAATGTATTTTAAATTATATTTTTTGGGTAATAATTAGATAATAACAATGATACGAATCGAAAAGTTTTTTCTGATGATATGGACTTTGAGCCTATTATGTTTATGCAATTTAAAAAAGAAAAAATACCGCGAATATTCTTTATCTTATTGACAAAATAACTGCATATTTATTTAAATTTGTTTATTATATTGTAACAGAGCGACATTAAATAAAATTTTTCCGATGTTTAAATCGAACACGAAATTTTCTCGTTTATTAGTCCGGAGCGTTAGCGTAAGGCTATATATTTCTACGCAGTATTACAAGATGTCCGGAGCTGATTGGCTTTTGTAAATATTTTTTTTTTTTAGTTAAGGTCGTTCCGGACTTAACAACGGTCCCCGTTCCCTAGTTATTGATAACCTCCCATGTGAAATCTTCACCTTAAGGTCGTACCTTTTAGGAAAAGGAAAAAAGTTCTACAATTAATACTTTTACGATTTTGCGATTCAACAATTATACATAAAATATTTAAGTATTTTCATCATCAGATAATTCATTATAATTTATTTACTTTGCGGTTGATCGACGGAAGAGACCTCAGAATCCACGTTGAAAATAACAGGCGTGAAATAGTCAGATATAACATTCTTTTTCACCTTATTATTTTTCGACCTTTTTATTAATGTTCTCATTATCTTTTTGAAATAATGAGGTACTTCTTCAATATCTTCGTAAAGGTCATGAAAGTCTATTATCGAAACGATTCATCAATTGACAATGATCTTTTCCTTTCTCATACATCTTCAATCGATTCAATGGATAATGATCGTTCCACTCTCCACGTCATCAACCGATCCAATGAGTAATGGTCGTTTCCTTCCCACTATGTCGTCAACCGATTCATCAATTAATAATGTTCGTTCCTTTGATTTAGTGATTTCGGCGAAATTTCAGTAATTTCAGCAATTTCAGCAGAATATTCTGGAATATATTCAATAGTAATAAATAAATATTATTTTATTATTATTATTATAATTATTTACTGTTTTAAGTAAAATAAATAAATTTGTATGTATATATAAATTCACAGCTTACATCCCAAGATTCAAAAAAATAATCTAAATCCTCTATCCACATCTGTTGGGTGTTTCCTCCTAAGATCTCTAAGTTCTTTTTCTTACACGGCTCCTAATACGAAAAAGAAATATACTTATAATCAAGATATTCTTGATTCATAGAATAAAACAATATTTTATATTAGAATACTTACGTTTTACAAAATTTTCACACTGAAAAAACCATCAAATAACCATATCCATGATTATTATGAGAAACATATCGGTTGCATCCTTATCGTCCTTATCATACTTATCGTTATCTTTATCGTCCGTAAATCTTTCAAAAGCCATTGGAACAATAGCCTTAATACGCGAAAGGCCTTCAAATTTAAGACTACCATCAGCTCTCATTTGATCATTATGAATTTATTCTTGTTCATGGTAACTCCGGCTTCAAG